TCGGTGAGTTGGTTTCTCTTCTATTTTTAAGTTTCTAAGGTGAATGGTGAGGAAACCTTCGTCCTAACAAAACATAAGCCCCAAACAAAATAGAATAAAAAGCAAAATAAAAATAACTAAAAATCATGCTCAGACTTGGTTCCTTACAATCATTAATATATGTATACAATATTTATATATTATGTGAACCAATTATTTTGTCTTTCTTTTCTCCCCTTGTAAAGGCACAAGTCAAATCAACAAAAATCTGTATAAAATAAAAAGACATTGAAAAACCCTAAAAAGACAAGACATAAAATACTGCAAAATAATATTACAGAATCAGTTGGATATATTTAATAAATTGTTTTGTAATTTATAAGTAGAACACTTGAAAGAATATAGTATCTGTATTACAATAAACTGCATAGATTTTTTAAAAAGTGATCTTTTTGAAAAGATTCTATCCTTGCATAACAGTGTCTTATACCTTTTTATCCTATTATAGAGTCTGAACATGTATTGATGTAAAGTTGAACTTCATGTCAGTAGCAAGTTCTATTTTAAAAGGAATGTTATCATCATGTGGACTGTTTGTTATTATGACTACTTCAGATATAGATTTCTCAACAGGATTTTTCATTAAAACTTAATGAAGTTTTTTGAACTGATCTGCAGACAGTAACAGTATCAGAATTTAGTTTTGTCTAAATAAACCTCAAGAATCTCAAAACTGGTTGCAAATCTTTATCCAATTTTTTTATATTTCAGATTTACTTGGGTAAAAATCAAAATTAGTTGTATTAAAACAAATTTAATTCCTAAGGTATCTGTGTTTAGTAGAATTTATTGTTCATACAGTTACAGAAATGACTGGATCAATCTTTGAAATTCTCTCTTCTGTCTTGAAATGTTTTCAATAATAAATAGTGCTTTAATAATCTCTAATTATAATAGCTCAGCAATATGAATATTTATAATCTGAATATAGAATGTACTATAGTTGTCAGCACATCAAATTAGTTGATTAAAATAATTAATTATTTATTTTATTCAGTAGAATAACAATTTCCAAACATCTTCTCTTGTTATTGTGAGTATATGAATTTTGTTTGTTATTACCTTAATATATTTTAGAAAAATTATTTTGTTTTTATTGTAATTGTTTTATACATCCACTGAGAAGATATTGTATATCTTTATTGTCTACCTCTTAGTGTATACTAATGAATAAGGCTGGAACTTTAGACAGAAATTTTTAAAGAAGGCCAATAAAAATTGAAAATTGTTTAATGATTTTAAGTTAAACTGCAGATTTCCTTTCTCTTGGTAGGAAGTGTGTTTAAAAATGTTATACCAGATCTGTGTCAACTAATTATAGACCAATATCTTTAATTAATGTATTTAGAAACATTTTTTCTTGTATTTTGGTAAACCATCTGAATCTCTGGATTGAAGAATTTACCAAATTGGGATTTTCTTTAAAAACAGAGGAGTTGGCTATAATCTTTTTACTTTACAGGGAATTAGGCAGTTAACATTATCAAGAAAATATCATAAGTTATATGTAGGATTTATTGATTTTGAAAAAAAGCATTTGATTCTGTAGATGAAGATATTTTATGGTGGAAACTTGCTAAGAGAGTCATCTCCAATTCATTTATTAATCTACTGAAATAGCTATTTTCTAACACTAATTACATTGTATCTTATCAGAATGGATTCTTGGACATTGAATAAGGGTTTACATCAGGGTGAACCCAAGTATTAATTTATTTATAAATGATATTCTGTATTTTATACAGGAAAAAGGAATTGTATTGTCCTTGCTCTGCTATGATATGATGTTAATAATTATTATTAATCATGTAAAGTACTAAGTTATTTTTATGCCTTTTACAATGATTAGCAACATGACTTTGTGCTGGAAATAGCCGTTACCTAATGGGTACTTTATGCGGATTCGCGCTAATGTGCCAGGCCTGGACTTTAAGCTTGCACCAAAAGAAATAATGACAAAGTTAGTCAAAAAACAATCCAGTATTTAATAATAATTCTAGTAATAACTATGTACAAAATTTAGTAACAGTCAACAACAAATTTATTTAAAGAAAAAATCAATAAGAATCAACCCGACAAAAACTCAAATCACTCTATTTGCTAACTTAAATCTATTCCCCTTTGGTCACGCGACAAAAAATTCAAAGACTTAACTTATGTACAACAATTCTTACGAACTAAGGTCCTAATCGTCACCTTGATATACTAAGCACCTTTTTCCTCAACTCTCAAGACTTTCTAATCTTTGATCCACAAATCTAATAACTTCAAATCGCCTTGAAACCACTTTATCGCTATCGGACACCTCTTGTCGTTTGCTGCTACGAAGCTCACCACGCTTGTTGCTAACAGAAGCTCACCTCGGTCATCATCATTTGAGGTTTGTTCTTTATACTATGAGGTGACATCACAATTCTCATTGAGATCACTCCCCTCATTTACATACTTATCGCTAACAGTAAACTTTCCCTTTCTGCCTGGCAGCCTATTTCCCGACAATTCTCACTAACCTTTTACATTATTCTTTTTTACAATTTTTCATGATGTTTTATTCTTTAAGGTTTAGCAAGTTCCTAAGTTGTGCTTGTGGGATATCACCCCCTTTTTTCTCGGTGCGGACTTACATTTTTCGCTCGGGAATGCAAGTGTGTGTGAGTTTTTTCTACTATGTTTTTTTTTTTTGTTGAGTTGGTTCTCTTTCTTCTATTTTTAAGTTTCTAAGGTGAATGGTGAGGAAACCTTCGTCCTAACAAAACATAAGCCCCAAACAAAATAGAATAAAAAGCAAAATAAAAATAACTAAAAATCATGCTCAGACTTGGTTCCTTACAATCATTAATATATGTATACAATATTTATATATTATGTGAACCAATTATTTTGTCTTTCTTTTCTCCCCTTGTAAAGGCACAAGTCAAATCAACAAAAATCTGTATAAAATAAAAAGACATTGAAAAACCCTAAAAAGACAAGACATAAAATACTGCAAAATAATATTACAGAATCAGTTGGATATATTTAATAAATTGTTTTGTAATTTGTAAGTAGAACACTTAAAAAGAATATAGTATCTGTGTTACAATAAACTGCATAGATTTTTTAAAAAAAATAATATTTTTGAAAAGATTCTATTATTGCATAACAGTGTTTTATACCTTTTTATCCTATTATAGAGTCTGAACATGTATTGATGTAAAGTTGAACTTCATGTCAGTAACAAGTTCTATTTTAAAAGGAATGTTATCATCATGTGGACTGTTTGTTATTATGACTACTTTAGATATAGATTTCTGAACAGGATTTTTCATGAAAACTTAATGAAATTTTTTGAACTGATCTGCAGACATTAACAGTATCAGAATTTAGTTTTGTCTAAATAAACCTCAAGAATCTCAAAACTGGTTGCAAGTCTTTATCCAATTTTTTTATATTTCAGATTTACTTGGGTAAAAATCAAAATTAGTTGTATTAAAACAAATTTAATTCCTAAGGTATCTGTGTTTAGTAGAATTTATTGTTCATACAGTTACAGAAATGACTGGATCAATCTTTGAAATTCTCTCTTCTGTCTTGAAATGTTTGCAATAATAAATACAGCTTTAATAATCTCTAATTATAATAGCTCAGCAATATGAATATTTATAATCTGAATATAGAATGTACTATAATTGTCAGTATATCAAATTAGTTGATTAAAATAATTAATTATTTATTTTATCCAGTAGAATAACAACTTCCAAACATCTTCATGAAATCAAAAACGACAACTTTCTAAATATTTGACTTTTTTGAAGAAAATTTGAAGTTGTAAATGTAATCAATGTTTTTTCTGCTATGATTAAAGATCAATCTTATACAATTTATATAATTTGATAACTTTTTCCATGAAATATAGCTTATAAAATAAAATCTTTTGATAAATTACAATGAAACATGTCACTCAGATTTGTAATATAATTTTTTTTCTTTTTAGATAATCTCTCTACAAATTTCCAGTATACTTTTAATATGTCAAAAAATGAAGATAAACATTTTACAAAAATTAATTTTATGAATGTTCCTGTCAAGCCGGATGTAGATGTTGAGTTAACTATAAAATGTTCTGATAGTGCTCTTATAAATATAACAGTTTCATCTTGTGAGTTAATTAAACAAAGTTTAGAAATAATGTTAAGCTATTTTCTAAATTAATTTTATATTCATATTTACAGTTTCCACGACTGAACGTTTACTTCGTGAAGGTGAAAAATGCAACAATTTTAAAGTGCAGTTTTCTCATGATGACTATATATTTGGAACAGACAATACAACTTTTTATGTTCGTGTATTTGGATTTAGTACACCATTTCTGTTGCAGATATCATTTTCACAGCATAGAACATTAGATCTGTTGCAATTCTTCATCACATTTTCAAGGTATTTAAATAAGCTTAGATTTCAATATTTTTTTTACAATTAATTTGAATTAATTAGACTGATGCATTAGATGTGAAGTAATACTAATTTTTAATCATAAAATCTGGTTAATTAAATGATATAGAATGCTTTCAACATTAAACTAACACAATAGACATTGCATTTTTTCTAAAACAGAATAGTAATACATAAATAACAGCGAAGAAGAATGATAACACAAATGAACAATAATTAAAGATTCAGAAATGTGGATGATGAGTTTTACAATTTACCAAAACCTATAAATATTGGGTTCTTGTATGTAATCAGTTCACTTTCTGTCTGGAATTTCAGTAATAGTGATGGAACTGTGTTTGTTATATAATTCCAATTTATAGTTTTTTTTCTTTGTTTACTCCCTCACCAACCACTGACACTTCTCCGATTGTTTTGACAAAAATTCTCTGCTTGCAGAATAAAAGTATTTTGGATGGTGTTAGAGCCACTACATGATGAACTCAGACTTCAGAGTTGTTCATGCAGTGGCTCTTGTCTCCCAACATTTCTGTTTTCCAAGACTTTATTTAAAGTGCCAAACAAGTGATTAATGCACAATTACAGATCCAGACTGTATGTGAGATGATCCAGAATTTCCTATGTAAGTCTGATGATTGCCTCCACTATGTTCAGGACTGTGCTCTGACACTAGTCAAAATACTTTTGTTTTGCACACACATCATCATTGCTAAAACAACAGGAGAAGTGTCAGTATGTGGAGTGGAAGTACTGAGAGAAAAAAACATAAATTGGACTCTTAACACACATTTTCATTGTCATTACTGAAATTTGAGACAGAAGTTGAATTGGTCTTGTATTTATATAAAAATCTGATATGTTGGATTTTCTTTACTGTGTTTGGTTAATAAGTAAAGCTGAATATTTATCAAACAATCAAGTTAATGTATCAATGTATTGGAGTGAGTATCCCAAAGCATAGATTTTTGATGGCCAGATGGCAGAGCAGTTGGATGGAGCCTGCTTCTTTGGGAACCTGGGATCAAATCCAGACAGGTTGAAAAAGCCCCAGGAATTTTTCAATTGGAGGTCCATCTGGATATGTTGGGCCTTGTCCCTCACCACCTGGTTTTCCCATTGTGGGCCTGGCTGCACCCATAATGGGCTTTCTAAAAGAAACCCTCTTAGTGCCCACAGGGCAAAAATAGTTTTAAAAAAGCATAGATTTAAATTCCACAAAACATTTATGGTAGTGAAGAAGAAAAAATATGGACAATATATAAAAGATACCACCATTTTCTCAGAATTTGCCTGAAAATTAGCTACAGTTTGAGCCAAATCAGTTTTAGTTTGATGTACAAGTTATTCTACAAACTGATTCAACTCAATTTATGGTCATTTATATTGTAGACTGGTACAAAGCTTTCATTTTTTTTACTATTATTATGGTATCAATTAGAATATAAAAATCTACAAAAAATTATTGTAAAAGTCTTAGACTTGAGGCAGAATACTGGGGATGAAAGACTCTAGTCATTTCTTTTAAACTCCTATTCCTGTTATAATTATTTACCAAAAAAAAAACTCTCTTCTCAATCATATATTTCTTCATATTTATTGGGTATATGGTGTGTTGACATTGTGACTGAATTGTTATCAAAATCCAACACATTATTTCTGTATCACTTTATATGCTAGAACCAATAATTCAACTGTACAAACGGAAATCTGAGCAATTCCTCTGAGCACAAAATTTGTATATTAAGATGGAATTTTTCTTCCAACAGAAGATTTTTTTTTTCTTGTTTTGGTAAAAAGTTTTTGACTCTTGAGGAATAAGAGGCTGACAGCTGGATGATTGAAAAATTGCAAAGTTCAAGAAAGCATTTTTACTTGACATTGCTAATTCATCATAAAATATAAACTAGAAGCTTCCTGACTTCTGCCATTCACTGTATATAATAATGATCATGGACAAAAGAAAAAAGAGAACATCATTAAACATGTTATAGGGATAAATTCAAACAATGATTATTCATCAGAATAGATTGTTTATTCAGAAATGTATATATGTAGGTACGGTACATAAAATTTTTGATAAAAATAAGTTTAGAAAATGTTTTTTAATGCAAAATAGTTCTACAAATGCAGAAGTTAAAAACAAATTAATTATAATTTTTTGAATTAGTTTATAAACCACACATTGTTGCATTGCATTAGCAAAATCAGATTATTTATTAATTTATACATTTAGACTAGATATAAATGCAGTGGTACCTCATACTTCAAATATAATTTATTTCAGGAGGCCATTTGAACTCTAAATTGGTTGAAGTCAAAACAATTTTCCTGATTAGAAATAATAGAAAGTGAATTAATTTGTTTCCAGATTCTAAACATTAACTAGTTTAATAAACTTTGCTAGAAAATACATAATTTAAGGTAAAAAAAAACAATTAAATGCTAAATGATAAATTAAAACATGAAAACTATAAATAAAATATATAAATATTGGATAATAGAATGAAAATTGAATTTTCTGTATTTTAGTGNACATAATTTAAGGTAAAAAAAAACAATTAAATGCTAAATGATAAATTAAAACATGAAAACTATAAATAAAATATATAAATATTGGATAATAGAATGAAAATTGAATTTTCTGTATTTTAGTGAGGAGTGATGATGCCATTCCTTAAGGTCACTACGCAGCTGCTTGGCTCTCTCATAAATAATTCTCTCAGAGATGATATCACCTGTCAATTGCTTTTCATTTATCCACACTAGGAGTTTTTTCATTTCCTCAACAAACATGCTACATCTCCTTTACTCACATTTGCTGCTTTTATTGTTTCCTTGTTCTTAAGAATGTTGAATACTAAGGATGCACCAATAAGCAAAATGGCCGATTACCAATTAATCATCCACGCATTATCGACCAATACTGACTAATTGGCCAATTAGTGTTAATAATTTATTGCATTAATAGTATGAGATCCTGGAGTTAATTATAACGTGAAAAAAACCCGTTTTTCTCCGCCTGGTATTTCCGTCTCCCTCGGGTTTGGTAAACAAGAGAATCAAATATCCTCGTAAAATCAACAATCTCTTCCTTTGTTTGGGAAAGTTTATAAAATAAATCTCAACACTTAATTGTTGATGTGTGGAAACTTCGACATTGTTTAAAAAGCTGAAGTGTTTCGGTGTTTAACAGAAACGATATATATTTCTAACTGCTGATATTTGGACAGCAACTACAAACAATTCTTCTTTTTTTAAGTGTAACAGCCCACTGGTTGAAGGATGATTTTCAGCAGGAAAGAGCTGTTTTTTTCCTTTTGAAGGTTCCCACAGCTACACGAATCAGTGAACAGATAAAAATTGTTCTTGAACAATATAAGTTGACAAGTGATAAGATATTCTTAGTACTGAGAGATTCTGCAGCAAATATGGTAGCTGGAATTAGGAATTGCAAGTTAGAAGCATTATCATGCTTTATATATACACTGTAGACACTAAACAAATGCATATTTTCTCAACAAGATGTGAAAACTATAATCACAGTTAATAGAAATATTGTCACACATTTTAACCATTCTGCTATAGCTGTAAGCAAATTGGAAAATTTGCAAGACAAGTTTGGTTTGCAGAAATACAAATTAATTCTAGATGTTCCTACTTGCTGGAATTCTACTTACTACATGTTGGAACTCTACTTACTACATGTTTATTTATTTATTTATTTATTTAGACATACTAGGCAAAGCCCATGATGCGGGGTATACAATAATTCGTTATATGTACCAGTACATTATACAAAAAAATATTATCATCCATCCATTATTACAGAGAAAATTAGCATATACATAAATCAAAACAAAATTTATACAAGTATTATTATAAACATCAAAAATGAATATCTGAAAGCCAAATATCCAAATATAAACATATAAAAGAAAAAGGATTCAATTATCTTATCCAAAATGTGGATAGTCTCCCAACACTTCTTAGCCACAAGCACACTTTTAAAGAAAAAACAAATGCCACCTTTCGGCAAAACAAATACTCCGATATGCAAAATAAACAACGATGTACGTCACTCCGTACAAGGGATCACTAAAACAAAATAAAAAATCAACAAAGATTACCTAAAAAATAATTTAATCTTTTGAACAAAATTAATTAAATCGAAATTACTTATATTAGTAATAAGTTCCAAAAAATTCTCCAACGAAATAATAGAAGTTCCAAACACACTTTCCCGAATTTTCTCTAACTTAGAACATTTAGCAATCACGTGAAAAGCATCCAATAGCTGATCATCCTTACAATACATGCAAATTTCTCTGCGATAATTCTGTAAAAAATTAAGGGAATTACATCTGATTTGCATTACTGTGGCACCAATATTAAAAGAAAAATTATTATTATAAAGCGAACAGTCAAAAAAAGATTTATTTAAGTGCTTGTACCAATCATTATAAGAGCTTGCATTAACTCGTTGATTCAAATCCATAATAAAATTATCAAAATAATTTAATTTCAAAATAGAACAACTATCATGCTTATTCAATAATTCATCAAAATTAATACCATTATTAACACAAATTTCCCTTAGACTTTTAGACCACAGAAAGTCCCTCTTATTAAGCACATAACACAAACAAACTCTGCTCCATCGTTTTTCATCCAATGCAATAGTCCTAAAAGTCCAGTTCAAACATTTATTCAATAATGTAAAAGACAGAGGTAATAACTAACATTCCATAAAAATCAAATAATTTGGGGTGCAACGAGACAAACCAAATAACTTTTTTATAAAATTAACCAGAACCGGATCCAATTTGTCATATTGATATCCCCAAACCTCAGATGCATACAACATAGATGATTTAACAATTGAATTGAAAATCCTTAGACAATCTTTCAAATTTCGCAATTTCGCCGATCTACACATTTGAATAACTCTATCAGTTTTAACAAAGGCATTCTTTTTAACAGTCTGAATATGATATTTAAATTTACCATTAAATCTGAATACAACACCCAGATATTTATATTGGGATTGGGATATTGGGATATTATACCTGTATTACATCATTCCTAAACCACCATTTATCCAATTTAGCAAGTTTACCACCATTACGGAAAACAACAACTTTAGATTTTATAATATTTCAGCTCATATTATTTTCTAGTAAATATTTGTCCAAAATATTAATAAATCCTTGTAAGCCTCTAACTGAGTCGGCAATTAAAACTATATCATCTGCATAGGCCAATATTTTAATGTTAATGCCATTCACCTCGATACCTTCATAGTCAGAATTAGTTATTTGTTCAATTAAATCATTTAAATATACACTAAACAAAACAGGACTTAAAACACAGCCCTGTTTAACACCAGTAACAGTGAAANTTATATTAGTAATAAGTTCCAAAAAATTCTCCAACGAAATAATAGAAGTTCCAAACACACTTTCCCGAATTTTCTCTAACTTAGAACATTTAGCAATCACGTGAAAAGCATCCAATAGCTGATCATCCTTACAATACATGCAAATTTCTCTGCGATAATTCTATAAAAGAAAAAGGATTCAATTATCTTATCCAAAATGTGGATAGTCTCCCCTACTTACTACATGTTGGAACTCCAAAAAGTCCTTGTCATATATACTATAGATAATAAAATTTCTATGTTGAGCCCATATCAGTGGTCTCTTGTTGAAAAAATTGTTCTACTTTTAAAACCATTCAAAGAAATTACTGTGGAAGCCAGCAAATGAGAAATCACCTCATCTTTAATAATTCCCACAATAGACTCTGAAATTATTCGTATCAAAAGCAAAGAACAGTAGTTCCTTTAGTGACATTAATACCACAATAAAAGAACTAGAAAATCTAATAAAAAAAAGATTTTTAGCATATATAGAAAACAAGTCTTTATGCTTGTCATGTTAGATCTAAGATTCAAAATGAAATTTCAAAAAGAGGATATGGTAGAGGTAATAAAAATATGGGCAGTTGATAGCTTAGATGATGTTGATTCAAAATCTCAATAAGAATTAAATTTTGAAGCTTCTACTTCTGGAGATGATCAAGATGGAGATGAATCTCTAAGTTTTTCTGATATATTTGATGAATTAGCTTCTGGCAAACAAAAGAATGAAGAATATCATGTTTTTAAAAAGAAAGAAAAAAACGAAAGAAACAAATAAACATTTCGATCAAGAATTAGAAACATATTTACATTTACCCCATAAACAAAGACATCGTGACCTATTTTTGTGGTGGAGTAGTTCAAAAGAACTTTTTCCTAATTTGAGCAAAATAGCTTTGAAATATTTAAGTGCCCCAGCATCTTCCATTGAAAGTGAAAGAATTTTCAGCACTGGAGGTAACATTGATGAGCCGGCAAGAAATAGGTTAGGCCTTGAAAATGGTGAAATTCTCATGTTTTTGCATTACAATTTAAGGGTTTTACAGTTTGAATATTAAATTTTTATTTGTTTTATATGTTTAAAGTTTAAACTTTAAATAAAAGAGATAGTTTTGAATAGGTTATATTATACCTTATAATATGTATCGATAAAAGGAATAATTTGAATTGTAAAATTTTTTTAATATTCAGTTTGTCATGTAATAAATAATAAATATATAACAAAAATGTATTATTTTTTATTACTAGCATTATATGTAACATTCTAACGAAAATACCAAAATGCAAAATTGGCCGCTTATCAAAACCGATTAATCAGCAAAGTGGCCAATACAGCTGATTACCAATTATTTACTGATTAATTGGTGCATCCTTATTAAATACCATTGACTTTGACATTTTAAACATGGTCACTAGATCCACCATATACATATTGCTTTCATGCTTCACGATAAGTTTCTTTTTTACCACCTCAATTGTCAATATTACAACCTTCCTAGGCTTCATTGCTTCCACACACTTCTTGCATGTCATAGTTAGATAGGGGTTATATATATATAATCAAACACATCAAAAATGAAGAAAAAAAAAAGTACTGTGAAAGCATCTATTGCATTACCTTGTAAAAGGTAATGCAATAGATGCTTTTACAGTGAGAGCAAGAGATCATTTGGGTGCACAACAGATAGTGTTTATGCAGTGAGTGCATTTTTTGCATGTGCAGTTTGAACTTAGAAGCATTGTTCAAACTCGAGATTAAATTTCTCTGAAATTTAGTGTTTGAAGTCTAGAACATTCAAAGTTAGAGTTGTTTGAAGTATGAGGTATCACTGTACTTAGGTATTGTCTCTGTGTNTGTACTTAGTTATTAAATAAATATTATATATTTATAATTTTAAAATTTTAAAAAATATCTTAAAATTATTCTTCTTGTCTAGTTGCTTCTTATCTCTCCTAATTATTGCTGCAGTTTTTTGGAAAATTAAACAAAAATATGATCTTTATAGAAGAAGACAGGTAATTGAAAATTTGTTTAATTGAAATAATATTTAATAATTTATTTTGTATTTATTTTTTTAATTAATAATTCTGCAATTGTTTAATAATAATCATTATTGTCAGCGGCTATTTGTGGAAATGGAACAAATGGCCAGTCGTCCTTTTGCAGGTGTAGCTTTGGAGATAGAAAAGCGTGCTCAGTTTGCATCTGATAATAATGTACTAGACGGGAGAAAGAAAGTAAGTATTATTAATTTTTCTTGTTTACAAATTTTAATTATTTAGAAAATACTGTTAGGAGAGAGAGAAAGGAATTTCTGTCACTATTTTTTGTTAATTGTATCCTGTTTAAAATTCCTGTAATATATTGCTCCTGTAGTAATTAACTGTTTATTAGAAAAACTTTAAATTTAATATATGATGCATGCAATGCCATAATGTTGTAAATGCCAAAAAATAAACTTTTCAGGAGAGATAAAAAACACTTTTTCTAATGAATGAATTCCTTCAAGTCTTGAAGGAAAATGATAAAAATCTCACTGTTACAAATTCTCTGGAATAACAAAATGATGTAAACATAAGCTGGAGCATTTTAAGTGCCAAAGTCACAGGACTTGTACTTCGGTGCTTAAAACCTTATGGTTTGCATTTACATAAATTCAACTTAAAAATACAACCACTTACAGCACCAGTATCACCACAATATTTTTTTGCAGCAGAATGCATTGTGTTTAGAATTTATTTCTTCAATAAAATGTATTTAGAGAAAAATGGCATTTACAACATTATGGCATTGCATGCTTTTTATATAAATAAAAATATACACGTCAGCAGGATGGGTAGAAAGTAACTAGGTACAGTCGACCCCCCCTATAACACTGTTGATTTTTCAGTTTTATATGAATTCCATGTTGTACGAGTCACTTAGATTTTACAAATACATGTTCCGGGCTGTGAACAGCTCACGTATTTATAAAATCTAAGTGACTTGTACAACATAGAATTCATATAAAACGGAAAAATCAACAGTGCTATAGGGGGATCGACTGTATTGAGAAATTGCTATAATTTTTGTAATAATAATAAAATCATAATAAAATTTGTGCATTCATGTATATTAATCAGTGGAATTTTATTATTCCTGTATTGGTGGTATGGGCAGTGATAGAGAGAGGTTGCATGTATAGTGGCAAAAAAGATGGCCGACCACTTTTCTATTCAGGAGTGAGTGCAGACTGCTGTACACTATGAGGTATGGAAATCAGTGGTTGCTGTTTCTAGAGATGGTGGCTTACATCATGTCACAATCTGTCCAGAAACAATCAAGAATTGTCATTTGAAACTAATGACCACAGTTTGGTTGTGGTTGCACAGAGAAATGGCTGTCCATTCATATCATGATCCCCAATCATTTGAGGAAGACGGTGTCAGTGCCTACATTGAATTTTAAGGTATGCATCCTTATTTTCACTTAATAAGGTACATGTCAAATAATTTTTATCTTTGTATTCAAAATATATAAATTATAGCATTTCTCAATGATTAGGTACTTTTTACCCATCCTGTATATCAGGTGTCACTACATGGAATGGCACAGGTGTGTTTTTCCACCTCTCACTCTCTGCTGGCATCCACTTCCACTCCACTTGGGTTTACAAACAAATTTATTATTTATTTAAGGTTACAAACAAATACAGTGTAAAAGATTCAACAACAAGTTGTGTAACTTTTCTGGCAAAAGAACTTAAAATTGTGTTGGCACCATCTGTTATGATATTTTATTCAAAAAAATAACTTTTATATTATTTATTACAATAAATAAAATTGTGTGTGGCGTCATCTGTTATGATATTTTATTCAAAAACTTTTATAATTTTATATTATAATAAACGGCAGAAAGCTTAACTTTCAGAGTAAAGATGGGTTTTATAAAAAATTGTAAATGCTAATAACGAGTAAAATTCTCATTTAGTCTGACCTCACTTAAGATACCTGAAAATGGTGAAATTCTCATGTTTTTGCATTACAATTTAAGGGTTTTACAGTTTGAATATTAAATTTTTATTTGTTTTATATGTTTAAAGTTTAAACTTNTTTATTTTTAATATTACCGATATGTCATCGAAAAGAAAACATGTTGTATTATCATTAAAAGACAAATTAAAGTATTTGTTTCGATTATCCGGATTTTTCCTTATCCGGACTACTTTCATCCCCAATTAGTTCGGATAATCGAGGTTCTACTGTATTTAGTCTATTTGTAAAAAAATAATGCAAGAATCTAACCCAACCAATAAACAAGATTTAAAAGAAAAACTTAAAAAGTTTGGTCTGAAATTAGTCTTGAACAATGTCAATCACTTATTGATAGTATGCCAAAAAGAATAAAATCTGTAATTCATAATAAATGAGATGTAAACATTAGAATAATAACAAGTAAAATCCTCATTTAGTCTGACCTCACTTAAGATATGATATATGATCCCCCTGTATTTTTCATCCTTGACCTTTCCTCACCAAAATTTAATAGCATCTGTAGCACTAGCTTGTAAGTAATTACCAAGTTCCTTGCTAAGGAGGTGATGCTTCATCGTAAGACACAATACCAGGCTACAGAAGAAGATTTAATAATTTAATGTTTTAATTTCTTAGGTTACATGAGCTACAATGTGATAGTACCAGTTGAACACAGAATCAACACATGTTTATACATAACAAGGTTTAAACCAGAAGTGAGGTTTTTGAGTCAGGTTACCAAGTCTGTTAAGTTCTTGGAGTTCCTCCTGGTGGTGACTTTTGGATTTATGACCAAAGGTGTCACCACAAAATTAATGCCCTTAATATATAAATATCCCTGCAAAACTTCAGAAATTCTCAACAAAAGCACAGGAGTTATTAAGCTTTGAAATGGGTGAACGAAATTGTGATTCACAAACATACATACACTAACATCTACATATACAGAAAAACTCTTGAATTTTTTTGCATTTCTTGATGTTTCAAGACCCGAGTCCAAAAATGTAAAAACCTTTGAATGTCATTTTTTGACTGATTGCTATACTTTCCATCTATTATACTCGTATACAACATCTGGGAAGGTAAAAAGAATGCCACAAGCAAATGACCACTAGACAAAACAGAAAAATAGCCACATCAGACTCAAATACTAGGTTATAGGAACAGCCAAGAGGTAAAGAAAAATAAAATTTAATACTTGTTCTTGTTCCGCTGCTGTTTTATTGAGTACTCTCATATGTACAATATCACTAGTTTTCGTATGGTTTAAGCCTGCTTGCATATCAATATGCAAGCAGCTCAAGCCATAACAACATTATTAAGGAGCTGCCACGTTTACTATGGCAGCTCCTTACATAATAATATATTGCTAGTGATCATGAGGTATTGCATTTTTATGGTATCCTAACTACCTATGTAATCATCAGCCATGCAGGAAATCCATATATATAGTCAGTTCAAAAAGTTTTTTGAGTAATTTAACTCCATTACAAAGTTCCAACCCTTGAATGATAATAACTAGGTGAAATAAGAAATTATGGAAAAATTAAAGAAGGATATATTTAGCCTGGTCTTTTAGCTATATTTTCTATTTTCATTTTAAAAAATTAATTTCTGAATAAAGTGTTAAAAAATCATAATTTATTACTTAAGTGAATAATAATCATAAAATTTAGGATATTTGAATTCACATTCAAAAAGTTTAGAATAATATGAATAAATTAATAAATATTGTCCAAATATAATTTGCATATAGTATTGTATGAATTGCAATTCAGAAATTGTCACAACACCATGGGGAAGAAACCACAATTAAGCCTGGATCAAAGAATCAAAATTATTGCTTTACATAAAGAAAATATTAAGTAAAAGAAAAAGCAAGAAAAGTGAATTGTTTACAATCTACAGTGCAAAAAATAATTCAAAAATTTAATGAATCTGAAAGTTTAATGCTAAATAAGGCACAGGTTATTCAAAATTACTTCAAAAACAACAAACATTATCACTTAGAAAAAGTTATAAAAGAAAATATACACGTGAGCTTGCAAAGGTGTTACAAGAAATCTGTGATTGAAAAACCAGTTTCAAAAACAATTATTTACAATTATTTGAAGGAGATGAGTTATAAAGAACCAAACAAAAAAAAAAGAAAAAAATTCATGTGACAAAAGAAAAAACAGTTAACCTGGGCCAAAAAATATGAGTTTTACACCTGAATAATTGCAAAAAATCATTTTTTGTGATGAAAGTATATTTTGTGTTGATTTGAATATTGGAGGAAAAGTTTGGTGCTTGAAATGTGAAACCAACAATCCAGATTGTTTATATCATTAAATTTTCCATTATAGTTATGGTGTGGAGTTCATTTGACTATAATGGACTTGAAAAATTGTGTTTTCTTAGTGAGACAGTAAATGGTGATGTGTATTGTAATATTTTAGAATATTTCCTCATTACAACGATTGAAGATCATTTTCAAGATGATATAATCTTTCAACAAAATGGAACTAAATGTCATCATGTTGAAAGAAAAAAGTCAAAGAATGGTACATCTAAAAGCTAAAGCTTTTGGATTGGCCTGGACACTCGCCAGATTTGTCCCCAATTAAAAATACAGTATAACCTCAATTATCCGGACCTCTATTATCCAGATTTTCGATTATCCGGATTGTTCAAAATAAACAAAAATTTTACGAATTTGCTGATTTGCACTTGGCGAATTACGACACCATTTATGTATGTGATGGAATGCATAACATTTTTTGTTTCAACAACATCTCACCTGGCACAGTGGTCGTAAACTCTTAAATATATTTTGCGTCATAATAAAAATATAACTTGACATATGTATTTATAAATAATTTATACTCAAATTACATCATTTCTATAACCAAGGGCGGCGTAAGGCATGGGCAACGTGGGCCACCACCTATGCCTCGCGGTCCGAAGGGCCTCGCGCCTCGAAGGTTTATCCATTACTTAAAAGCCAAGAACGCGACGAAAAAATTTTACTCGTCATAAAACAATAAATAGTTTGTAAAATTTTTATTCATGAAAATGCAGTTTCAACTGCTTTTTATTTTATAAAATCCGTCTTCTTGAGCTGCCAGAGGGCCTTTTAAACAATAGGTAGTCTTAGCGCTGGTCAGTAGTAGTCCAAATTCAATAAAACATTTGTATCTTGAAAATTTGATCACAATTTAAATACAGTATTTATTTTTAATATTACTGATATGTCATCGAAAAGAAAACATGTTGTATTATCATTAAAAGACAAATTAAAGTATTTGTTTCGATTATCCGGATTTTTCCTTATCCGGACTACTTTCATCCCCAATTAGTTCGGATAATCGAGGTTCTACTGTATTTAGTCTATTTGTAAAAAAATAATGCAAGAATCTAACCCAACCAATAAACAAGATTTAAAAGAAAAACTTAAAAAGTTTGGTCTGAAATTAGTCTTGAACAATGTCAATCACTTATTGATAGTATGCCAAAAAGAATAAAATCTGTAATTCATAATAAATGAGATGTAAACATTAGAATAAAATGTTCTAAAATTTATAACTTTTTACAGTTTATTTAGAAATTAATTTTTTAAATGAAAATATAACTAAAAGACCAGGCTAAATATATCCTTCTTTAATTTTTCTATAATTTTTCATTTCACCTGGTTATTGTCATTTAGGTGTTGGCACTTTAGGATGGAGTTAAATTATTCTAAATTTAAGAAATGTATATGAAATGTATATATAGTCAGTTTAAAAAATCTGACTATATATACATTTCAAGGATGTAGCCCATCATCATGGATAGAAATTACAGGAAAGAACTTTAGAAATTTAAAAATTAAATGAAGCACTATCAAGTGAAGAGTAGAGATTTAATAAAATTAAATTTTTGCATGTTTGATGCTCCTTATAACAAGGAATCTGGATGATCTGTAAAATCACACAACCATCTTCTAAGCTTGGAAATAGTCAAGCTTTATATAATTTTTGGTTTGATGTATATTCTTTTCCTAATTGCTATTTTAACATTTAAATTATTAACACATTTATTGCATCTTAATTTTTTGTTGTTTGTATTTACAATAGAGCATCGATTATTCGACCCCAATCAACCGTCACATTGGTTAACCAACTGCATTCTAGTCGGCAAATTCAAATGTCCGCTGGTGATGCAACGCTATAATATTTGGCTATGTCTTGGCCACTTTAATATTATTTTTGTAAAATTTTTGGTGTTATAGCTGGCAACACTGGCTCGACCACAAAAGGGATGCCAGTATTTAAACGAGGCTTAAGTTTCTAATTATGAGTGGTTGGTTGGTTTTGTAAGCCATAAAATAATTTAAAAATAATTTTTAACGACACAATAGCAACGATTATTATTTTAAAAAAAATTTGTTAGGCTTAACATTGATGAAAATTCACCGCGAAGTAGCTTAATAGCGATATACTAATATACTAATTACATGAGATATAATAATATACTATACTAATAATGTATTTTTTCATACTTTTCAGTTATCCGTTTTTTCAGTTATCCGACCAACCCCAGTCCCCAATTGAGTCGGATAATNAAGTAGGTTAATAGCGATATACTAATATACTAATTACATGAGATATAATAATATACTATACTAATAATGTATTTTTTCATACTTTTCAGTTATCCGTTTTTTCAGTTATCCGACCAACCCCAGTCCCCAATTGAGTCGGATAATTGATGCTCTACTGTATTATTATTATTATTATTATTATATTATGTGGTGGTGTTGGAATGTATTCTACATAGTATATATACCAGTGTCTAGTGCAATGCATGACTAAAGGCAAAGTCTCACTAGTCTACAGAAAACAATTGTTTTGTTTATGTGCTGTTTGTGTATTTATCTTTTTAAGAATTTCCTGAGTATGTGATATGTGTTTAGTACAGCAGTTGCTTTCAAACTACTGATTTCAGTTTGTAAAAATAGGAATTATAAAATCCAGGATGGAAATTCTTGGAAAATTACAAAAAAGACTACATTTAAAGTCTTTTACATGTTCCTTTCCAACTGTTGGAGCACAATCAACATTAGTAAAGTTAATCTTTCTTTATGGGTTCTCTGCTTACAAATATGCAAATTATAAACTTATAAATAATTTGCATATTTATAAGTGGAAAAGACTCTAAATATCAACTCCACTAATGTCGATTGTGTTCCAATGGTTGGAAATGAATGTGCAGAAAACTTCAAAATATTTTTGCAACAGTCTTTTTTATAATTTTACAAGCTTGGGATTTGAGTTTTATAAAGCTTCTTCTGTTATTTTTATCCACAACAATAAATCAAAATGCTTGAAATTATTTGGAAATTAGGGAAAGTATTCTGAATGTCTGCAGTTAAGCAGGAAAAAATGGATTTTGAGAATTGAGAAAGTGAATTTTAATTTACTTTAGTTTAGTTTACAAAAGTAAAATTACTTTGTTTACAAAGTATATGGATTGTATTTTATCAAAATATATTTAATTATCATTATTATTTCTTTTTAGAACCATCCTACACCAATAGCTCTTGAACCATGCTCAGGTGGCAAGGCAGCTGTGCTGTCACTTATAGTGAGAATGCCTCTTGGCAATGAAGACTATACTCCTGATGGTCAATCAGGTTTGGCCATAGCAAGTGCTTTAGTGTCATTGGGAACTCTGTGTAAGACTAGTACTGATGCAATCAAAGAGAGTGGTAAACTTGATAACTGGAAATCAAATTCAAATTCCAGTACTTGTATATAAAGAAAGATAACCTCATTCATCGACGTCATCATCCAACGGTGGATCATTATCATCGTCATCAGTCATCACCATCACCATCATTTTACCATCGTCATCTCATCTTTCTTGTGTTAATAATTGAGTTTTGTATGCTGCAAGTATTCTGCCTTTCGTCATTAATTTTATAATGTTAAAGAATGAATCAGTGATCCCAAGTTCTTTTTAGATGTAAATGTTTCAATTTTTAATTTACAGGATATAATTTCCACACACATACATACACACAGAATCTCACATTTTATCATAGAATTTTCATTGTCTAGTTTAATTTTTATAAATAATTAATGGTTAATAAAATATGAGGGATGTTCAAAAATTTTCCAGAAAATGTAAATAGAAAGATAGCAAATTGAATTTAATGTTTTATTTTTCAGTGTACATTCCATTTGAGTTAAATATTTTCCCATATGGTGTCACTACTCTTCTAAGCCCTTCATGTAGAAATTAGTGCTCTTTGATTCTAGTCACTGCACTACAAAACTTTCACTTGATGTAACAACCGCTAGTGAACACTTTTAAAGTCTTTATTATTTAAATTTTGGAATGAAAAGAAGACTGATGGGGCTTATTATTCTTTTTATTCATAAATTAGAAACATCAGTTAATTATAAATATAGCATTCTGTTTATGAATAATAATCACTTTCTGGGAACTTTTTGAATGCTCCACATATATACAATACAGGCATACCTCGACTTACGTCGTTTCGAGTTACGTCGTTTCCGATTATACGTCGTTTGTCAAAAAAGTATATGGAAAATTAAAAATCAAGTTTAAGTCATTTTACTCGACTTTACGTCTGTCCGCCACAAATATTGAAGTCATAATATCACTAGAAAAACGTTTAAAGCACATAAAATCACATTAAAATATATACAAGTATGTACTGTATTTACAGTACTGTACATGCATTCGTGAATTTAGATTACTTTTTTTCTGTACTATATTAAAAAACTGAAATTTATTTGTTTGTAAGCTTAAAATAGATTTTTATTAGCCATATATTATTAAAAATGCATTAATAGATAAAATACAGAACCGGGAATGGTAATTTACGGTTTAGCCTAGTGACAAGTAGATTCGGAGACAAGTAAATTCGACTTACGTCGTTCTCCTGGAACCAATTACCGACGTAAGGCGAGGTATACCTGTACATGTGTACTGTATGTTCATAGATTTGTAGTTTTCGTTTTCAAATTAAATGAAATTGCTGATATTTCAGTAAACAAAATTATAAAATCTAGATAGATATACATACACATTCCATATTTAAATGATACAAATCTGTTGAGTATGAACAAATTATTAATTTATATATATATATATAAATTTTCATAAAATAATACTTTATATATCAAAAATAGAGTATAAATTGTCTTAATTTTTAATACTTAAAAAAATTAACATTTGAAAACTAATACGACTTGAAAGAAGACTTTTGTAGATGAATTTAAACATGAAACATGAGAAAAATTGATTGTGAAGTGTTAAAAAAACAATTATTCAAAGTAAAAATTTAATAAATTTGTAATATTTTCCTATTATTATTACCTGAAAATATGTTTTTTGAAATATATTTTTATACGTTTCATTTTAAATTGATTGTGTAATATTGAAATTAACTTAATTTTTAGAAACTTCAAAAACATCAATTCAAATTATACAAAAACCATGCTTCATTAGAACAAATTTTTTTATGTTTAAAATTGAAGCAAGTCATTCTGGCTCATGTTTAGTGGTTTTAAATGAAGAATAATAAATGGTAACCTTCTAAATAAATTAAAAATGTTAATATTTAACAAATTTTCACAATTCTAAAATGCAAACAATTTAAGTTTTAAATATTTAACACATTTGGATTATTTTCTAGAAGAATGAAATTTAATAAGCTGCAAAAAAAAAAAAAAATATTAAGTCTCCAAAGGGGAGCCAGAAAGGTTCAAAAGTGCTTGTACTTCAAATATTTATAACTTTACTCTGATAAAGCATAGTTTAGTATAATTATATCATTTGTTTTCCACTAAAAAACATATCATATTAATTAAAATTTAATAATTATAAGTTCTTTAACCAATTTTCTTCATTTAATCAAAGAAAGAATTTCATTAATGTAAGCTTAACGTGTATATTGAAATACGAACTGCACATTATAGTTTTGTAGTTATGAAAATTACATTACCGACAATCAATTTATTGCAATAAACATGTGATATATATATATACATATACACACAAACACATACACACATATACATATATATATATCCGTTTTTTCAGTTATCCANTCCTGGAACCAATTACCGACGTAAGGCGAGGTATACCTGTACATGTGTACTGTATGTTCATAGATTTGTAGTTTTCGTTTTCAAATTAAATGAAATTGCTGATATTTCAGTAAACAAAATTATAAAATCTAGATAGATATACATACACATTCCATATTTAAATGATACAAATCTGTTGAGTATGAACAAATTATTAATTTATATATATATATATAAATTTTCATAAAATAATACTTTATATATCAAAAATAGAGTATAAATTGTCTTAATTTTTAATACTTAAAAAAATTAACATTTGAAAACTAATACGACTTGAAAGAAGACTTTTGTAGATGAATTTAAACATGAAACATGAGAAAAATTGATTGTGAAGTGTTAAAAAAACAATTATTCAAAGTAAAAATTTAATAAATTTGTAATATTTTCCTATTATTATTACCTGAAAATATGTTTTTTGAAATATATTTTTATACGTTTCATTTTAAATTGATTGTGTAATATTGAAATTAACTTAATTTTTAGAAACTTCAAAAACATCAATTCAAATTATACAAAAACCATGCTTCATTAGAACAAATTTTTTTATGTTTAAAATTGAAGCAAGTCATTCTGGCTCATGTTTAGTGGTTTTAAATGAAGAATAATAAATGGTAACCTTCTAAATAAATTAAAAATGTTAATATTTAACAAATTTTCACAATTCTAAAATGCAAACAATTTAAGTTTTAAATATTTAACACATTTGGATTATTTTCTAGAAGAATGAAATTTAATAAGCTGCAAAAAAAAAAAAAAATATTAAGTCTCCAAAGGGGAGCCAGAAAGGTTCAAAAGTGCTTGTACTTCAAATATTTATAACTTTACTCTGATAAAGCATAGTTTAGTATAATTATATCATTTGTTTTCCACTAAAAAACATATCATATTAATTAAAATTTAATAATTATAAGTTCTTTAACCAATTTTCTTCATTTAATCAAAGAAAGAATTTCATTAATGTAAGCTTAACGTGTATATTGAAATACGAACTGCACATTATAGTTTTGTAGTTATGAAAATTACATTACCGACAATCAATTTATTGCAATAAACATGTGATATATATATATACATATACACACAAACACATACACACATATACATATATATATATATATATATATTTTCAAACAATATGTAAATAAATATATATCAATATTTAAAGAAAATATACAATAATGAATCAGATATAAAGTATTTAAAATTTAACAGTAAAAAAAAAATATTTTATAGTTCCTAAATTTCTGATACATAAAATAAATGTGCCTAATTAAAGTGCCTGATTGCAGGAGTTTATATCAGCAGAAAATAAATAAATAAATTGAAATAATTTTGTTAAATTCATTAATAAAATAGTACATTTTTGATATACGAGAAATTAAATTTGCTCAAATTAATACAATTTAATTCTTAAGTTAATTTCAAATTTTTGAGTTTTATTCTCTTTTGGCAAAAGGACTTGGGAAGCTGATTCTTCTGAATTGGCGAATAGTATGAATGTGTGTATAAATTATTAATAATAATATCTTTGTACTTAATTTAATTCATAATTATCTAAAATTATATTGAGTAAATGATTCATATTTATGTCGAATACAAAATTAAATTGGTTAAGTAGTATTTTACAAATATAACTCTGGGAGATAGATAAATATATATACTTATGCATGTAACCTGTATATGTATACGTATATATATGCTATATATATATATATAGATGTGTGTATAATGTAATATAATTAGCAATATTGTTAATTGTTAAGATAAAAATTTATTCTCCATTTTTTTGGTCGACAAGTATATATTTATCATTTTCTTGAATTAGCACAAATCTATAGTAATTTATTTTGGAAAATAATGACAAAAAAATATATATATATATATAAACTATTTTTACTCCTGAAGGATAAATAATTGAAATGATTTCTTTTACAGAACTCATTAAGCTCTAAACAAAAGAAATCCTTTCATTGTACATTGTCTGGATACTTGTAAAATGTTCTTTTATTAACATTCCAGTTTCTAAATTTCATGTCATGACAAGCTATTCTTATTTTGCTTTTGTTTTTTACTATGATTTTATGAATATTTTATTGTATTTTATTTAATTTTAAATATAATTTGAGGTGCAGAATACCTAGAAGAACCTATTTTTATGCGCCTTCACTTGCTATCTACAATATTGTTACTAATTAGAATGGAGCAAGACATTAGTGTAGAGCCTAACTTGACTCTTAACTGTACAATATGATGATAGCAGCCAATGCCAAAACAGAAAAAAAAAATTGTTTTGTATAGGAACCAAAACTTATGCCCACACTATTTTTAGTCAAGATATTTATCAAGTTGTGCAGCTTGTGTCACTGGAATACCTCCTTTTTCCTTTTAAGTTTATCAACGATCAACATCGTAATGACATATCCTCACTATGATTTTATCATTCATCGCAATTAAGAAAAATATGTGTCCATATGCAAATAATCACATTCTATACGAAGTGATGTATAATTATATATATATATAAAAATGTGTCCACAAAGTTAAATTTTATATAATGATTAATGTTTATTGTGTATATTGGACTATTTTTACACAGAAAAATTGATTGTGAAGTGTTAAAAAAACAATTATTCAAAGTAAAAATTTAATAAATTTGTAATATTTTCCTATTATTATTACCTGAAAATATGTTTTTTGAAATATATTTTTATACGTTTCATTTTAAATTGATTGTGTAATATTGAAATTAACTTAATTTTTAGAAACTTCAAAAACATCAATTCAAATTATACAAAAACCATGCTTCATTAGAACAAATTTTTTTATGTTTAAAATTGAAGCAAGTCATTCTGGCTCATGTTTAGTGGTTTTAAATGAAGAATAATAAATGGTAACCTTCTAAATAAATTAAAAATGTTAATATTTAACAAATTTTCACAATTCTAAAATGCAAACAATTTAAGTTTTAAATATTTAACACATTTGGATTATTTTCTAGAAGAATGAAATTTAATAAGCTGCAAAAAAAAAAAAAAATATTAAGTCTCCAAAGGGGAGCCAGAAAGGTTCAAAAGTGCTTGTACTTCAAATATTTATAACTTTACTCTGATAAAGCATAGTTTAGTATAATTATATCATTTGTTTTCCACTAAAAAACATATCATATTAATTAAAATTTAATAATTATAAGTTCTTTAACCAATTTTCTTCATTTAATCAAAGAAAGAATTTCATTAATGTAAGCTTAACGTGTATATTGAAATACGAACTGCACATTATAGTTTTGTAGTTATGAAAATTACATTACCGACAATCAATTTATTGCAATAAACATGTGATATATATATATACATATACACACAAACA